ATTTTCCCACTTTCATGCCACCTTAGCCATTTTCTACCAAACTGATGTGGTGAGAATTCTTTTTCTAGGCTGTTGGCTGTGTTTTTTTTTTTTTTTTTTTTTTGGGGGAAAAAAAAAAAATTTTTTCCCTAATTTTAAAAAAAATTTTCTTTTCTGCACTTTTCTTGTTGTGGGAATTGATTTTCCCGATTACTGTTGACGTTTTTCCTTTTTTTTTTTTTTTTGCAATGGAAATAAATTCCATCTCCAATACCAGTCAATTTTATCACTTTAATTAAAAAATTTCATATAAAACAAAGTCAAATGAACACCAAAAGACACTTTTATTTCAACATTTTTTACGTCAAAAATTATACCAATCAAATACAATAATTGACAATTCCTAATAAAACAATTTCTAGGCAATTTAATACTCTGAAATTTGTTTTCTTTCCATCAAAACTTCATTTTTGCAATCAAACGGACCCCAGGAATGAAATCTAAAAAATCCAATCGCATCTATTGTAACATCAAATATATCAAATTTAGAAATTAAAAAAAAAAAAAAAAATTGAGAGGAACCAAAGTTTTATTGACTGAGCAGGTCTTGCAAGCTACCACAGGCTAATAAAGAAAAATGCAACGGTCGGAAAGTAATTAATAAAACCAAAATAATAAGACCATTTCCTCCTCCAACGGTACTTTGTACATTGTCACCCAAAGTAACGTTCTTCTTCACTCTTCACTCTTCACTCTTCACTCTTCACCCCCTCTCTCTCTCTAAAACACTGTTCTATATTCCCGCTTTCATCTGCGACTCTGCAGATATTGATTTATAAAGAAAAACTTCCTCTTTAAATTGTATATATATCAAAATTATAATTTTCAAGCCATACATACATAGTTGAGTTTTAATTTAATGGAGGTGGCAGTAATAGATTGGAAAAGCATTGATTCAAGATTTGTAAGAGATGAGATTTATGAGAACATCAATGCCCCTCAGTGGGTCGATTTCTCAGTTCCCAACGATACCGTCGACGATGAATCCTGGTTCTGCAGACCTGGTAAGTCAAAACACACACACAATCCTTCGTGTGCATGTGTGTGTATATATACAGAAATGATCTTCTAAGCACCGGTGCTTAGCTTATATTAAGCACCGGTGACATGGCACACTACTCAATTGGTGAATAATCGGTGCTTAACATAAGCTAAGCGCAGTTGCTTAGAAGATGTGGGTTCTGATTTTCTTGTTGCTTGAGAGGATGATTTTACTCAGTTGATTTTGTTTGTTTATTGTTATATATAGGCTGTAATCACCCCAAGACAGTTGAAGATTTCTTCAAAGATAAGGAGAGGACACCTACTTCGAATTATAGGGTTTGTATTGCTTCATCTTTTCTTGATTTATGTAAAATTTAATGCTTGTTCTTCAAGAAAATTTAATGAAATTGAGATCTTATTCTTAGAATTTAATGGTTAGATTGAGACAAATTATGTTTTTTTGGTTAGTTGTTTATCCGATTAAATTAATGAGTATGAAGTCCTATAAAGACCAAATTAAGTTAATTAAAGCATAAGGTCTTTTGCAGCTTCAGAGATCAGCCAGTGTATCTGAGATTCTTCCATTTGATGATAAAAACAGAAGGTACTGATGAAACTTAGCAGTATAATTTAAACTGCATTCATGTATAATTTAGTGCGTGACCTCATTTACGATTTCAGAGATGCAACACTGAAGAAGAGAGGGATGAATCAACCATTTACATCACCAAACATGAAATATAATAGGATTGTTGAAGATAGTGAAAATCAAAATCCCAATTTTTCGACCCCTCCAAATCGCAAAGGTTATAAGATGAAAGAGGCGATCAAGTCAAGCACGGAGAGGAAGAAAGAGACTGATGATATCATGACAATGAAAAATCAAGCACCGAGGCTGAAAAGTACTTTGTCAGCTCGGAATTTGTTTTCTGGTGGCGATCTACTGAACAAGGTTGCAGAGTTTTGCAATGAGTTGAAGAAATTGGCAACAAGGGGAAAGGATGGTGCTGAAGATGTGAATGGGGGAAACGCAGAGAAGCATTTGGTTGACCATTCAAGAGATTTGGATGATAAAGAAAAGGAAAGGAAGCCACTGCTTCAGTCAAGTCAAGTAAAAAGTGAAGCGACTGAGAAGAGCTACTCAAAGGAGAAGCAAAGAAGGAAAAAGTAAATTTCTCTTCTTTCTCTTCTTGCTTTTATGTACCTGTATTTGTTCTGCATGCATATAAATACGGGAAGTTTAGTAAAATCTAAATAATCTTCAAGAGATAACCATTTTGGTATGCTTGATGCAGAAGAAATGATGATGCAGAGAATACTCCCATTGCTGTGGATGTGAAAAGCATTAAGCACAAAGAGGAAGAAAGCTTGTTGCAAATTCGGACTTCTCCTCCTACTCCACAATGTTTCTCGGCCAGTCATGGCCCTAACAAAGCCACGCCCAAATCTTACAGGTCGAAACCACGGGTATGTACAGAGGTTTCATAAAATCTGTTCAAAATGGTCTGTATTAAGTTGTGTTTTATCATTGAATATGCTGAGAATTGAATTAGGTTTATTTCTTCACATTTTTAGGCCAATCACTTTACATGATTTATATTGTTTGAATCTCCACGGTGAACAATTTAGGTGGGCGGAAGATTGGATAATAATACTAAAATCTTCTTGTTATTGTATTTAGTTATGTCGAATACTGCATACCTACCATAAAAAAAGAATTCATAAGGTATCAATTACTGACTGAATCACACGAATGAACACTTTCAGGAGAGAGGAATTCTACAGGAGCTCAGACCGATCAATAAGGAGGAGAAAAGTGATGAGCTCAGGCACAAGAATCACCACAGAAGAGATGTTGCTGCTGCTGTGGCTGAAAAGGAAGCAAGAACTTTGGATGTTTTTTGGTTCTTAAAGCCTTGCACCAATTCAAGTTAGTCAAGTAAATTTTTGACAGTATTCATAGAGATATTCTTTCATTTTTTAATAAATCTTGCCGTTACTTGTACAATTATTTTGTTTCATCTTGATCATCCCTGTTCCTGATTCATTCTATAGTTCGACGCAAAATGCAATAAAAATTTAATTGTTCTTGTACTTGAAACTAATTTTCACTGAATAAAATCGAGTTCTTTCATCTATGTTGGGAATCATTACATTTTGCATTCTTACATCGTATTGATGGTTGTATAAATTATTTCAATTCTAAAGTCTTAAATAAAGAAATTTTCAAATTTGATTTCTTCAGATAAAAAGGGAATGCATTTATAGGAAAATACATAAAGTCTTGTGGGGGGCATCTTCAATTCGAATTTTAACTCCAGTCCGTCTATCATTCTCAAAAAACTCTTTTTCCTAAAACTCATTTTTAATTGCACATTTTCATAATAAAATATTTTAGACGTAAACCTAAAATTTTCATTACTTTTTAACCATATATTTTTCAAAAAATTACTATTCCAAAACTCATTTTTCCAAAAAAAATAAAAATAAATAATAATAATATAAAAACCTTTTCAATGGGCATTGGCTTAATAGTTTTCTTAAAATGAATAAATTTTCACGAGTTTCAGGGATTTAAATAGAATATCCCTAAATTCATAATATTTTAACTCATTCTATATTTATATATTTGGTTTACTAGTAAGTTTCAATAGGTATGCCTTATATGCTGCTTTTGGTCGCCTCTAAATGATAAATTTAAATTGTGATATATATCTGCAATGGCATGACACTCCTACTTTTATATGTTGAATGGGTGAAGATTTCCAAATTTTTCCCATTTGTAACTAAAATTAATTCCTCTGAATTGTGGTACTTTTTTACTTTGGTTCTGTTTTAACTACATCCAAAAATGTTTCCCCTCAATTCTTGTGGTTCTTTTAGTTCATTTCACAGGAAGCTATGCAGTATATTTTCTTCTTTTACAGGACTATGAATATCTCTTCTCATTCAAGCAGATTGTTGAGATGAATTAAACAGTGTTAGTTGTTCCTGAAGAGGCTGAAAAGTATTCTACCTTTCCGGTGCATTTTTATGGAACTTGCTCATTGCTACTTCCTGTACTGGATGTCTGTCACATCACAAAAGCAGCAATAGCTTTAAGAAGACTAAAGTTTCTCAACAATGCTTCATGTACATCGTAGTATACAGCTTCGTGGACACTCCACCACGTGTCAAGCTTTGATTCGACAGTTTAGAGAAAAAAAAAAAAGGACTTTCCATCGATCACACGTTGCCAACTTGGATGATGTGCACAATGATATATAAATCAGGTACACTAGTCCTCTCAGTTCAACTAAAATCTCCTAGGCCAGCTCCTGAGCATGAACTATGAAGGTACGTTTATGAAAAAAATGTGTCGTTGATGCCTCAAAGCTGCCGAAGCGAGATTTTATTTTATTTTTTAATGAAAAAACGGATTTTAAACATGTAAGATTGTTATAGTCAATTTGTATTTTGTAATACGTATATATTTGTACTTTTTCTTGAAAATTCTCGTGAATATATATTTGAAATTTTGAATCGTGATGATGGTCACTGAACTTGTTATGGAATATCAATACGATCATCTAATTTGATCTTTATTTTAATCAAGCCATCAAATTTTCATGTAGACGATCAATGAACACACGTCTAAGCATCAACAGCCACATAGGACTGATGAGCCAACACATTTCGAGCCATGATAAGCAAGCATAGAAGGGCATGTCTGATATGTTGGTCTTGTTATGAATAGTTGAGATAATGCGAAGTTTGCACACCATGATGTTTTGTAGAACCCAACTCAGAATTAAGTAATTCATGTGATTTTTGTTATTAGAAACATTCTTTTAATTTTCAATTAAAAAGAAGTGAGTTCGAGAAAAACAAATAGCTCATTCATTGACATATTCATTCACTTTGTTAGTTTTTTTTAATCCTAGGAGCTCAACTAAAAGGAATAGAAAAGGTTAGTAGAAAAGCATAGAACCCTGGGATTACCTTAAAATAGGCCTCTCCAATTAGAAATCTGCACTTGGAATTATATGTTAACATGAAGAGAAAGTTAATCATCCAGTTTCTGAACTGCATTTTGTTCCTTCTTCGCTTCCAAAGTTTAACAAAACAAAATACTGAAAAGAACAGGTATTACAGATTGGCATTACTTAAAACTAATCGCCCCAGTTTCAAAACTGCAGGCCATGCTCCCTAGCAGCATCAGCAAGGGCTTCAATCCGTCCATGATAGGGGTAACCCCCTCTGTCGAAAGCCACCTTGGTAATTCCTTTTTCAAGACAGGACTTCGCGATAGCTTCACCCACCTTCTTTGCTACATCCTGAGAACAAAAATTTAGTAATCAAAGCAGTTCCTATTTTACACCAAGGGACAAAAAGGAAAGCAGATGCACGTTACAATAACCAATTTCCTTCATTTGATCTGACGGACAGAAACCCTAGAGAATCATTGTTGGAACACTTTATTCAGCCAAAAATCAGATAAACAAGTATCCATATGCATTCCTATTTAAGTAGAGCCGATTGGAAGCTGAGGTTCATCCTTAAATGCTCTTCTAAATCATATGTGACAATTGACAAATTATGAAATTTGAGCTTCAGACATAAGGATTAAGAGAGATGGCTGGCAGCCTGTAACTTCAGTATACCATTATGCTTCATATAAAGATCTATAAATTTTATTACACCTTGAACTAGAAAATTCATCTTTCTAGTGGAATCAGTTCTTCACAATCCCTTTTGGGGAAGTGCACAGAGATGGTCATGGAATGGTTTTATATCTGTCAACTCCAAGATTATGACTTGAAAAGACCATCTTAAATAAGTTCTAGGAAGTTGGTAAACGTTCTGGTTATTGGCTGAAAAGCCTCAAGTTTGATCTTTCTTTCCTAAAGCCCTGTCCAGTAATTCCTCCAACTTTTTCCTATCCATCTTATTTAGGAGCCACTCACTAGGAGGGTACATGTTAGCCCCTTGAGACCAGCAATGGCTGTGTTATAGGCACCAATGACAATACCTTTGATGGGGGTCTGCTGATGGGTGCATTAAAGACCAACAGAAGCAGGGCAATGTAGGTGAGTATTGAGGCTGGCATTTAAATGGTGCATGCCATGGGCAGATTGCCTAGCATGAAGATAATGAGCTACAGGCAGCATTCTGGTGCACAATACATGTTGAAAGCTAAATGTCCATTAAAGCAAGTTGTGGACAGCACGGCATGGGAAATGGCCAGTGTGCTTAGACTTGTGGCGATCCTTGGGACACTACACTCTCCAAGCTAATACACAGGAATGACTTTCATTGAAAGCATGATGTGTGGCCAGCTGGCTTCAAAACCAAAATATGTGAACGACATGTTATTAATTGGACTTAACGTGAAAGTGGTAAACAAGATTAAAATGGAGTTAAGGGAAATAATTTGACATGAAAGACCTAGGGCATGCTAGGAGGATCCTTGGTATGGAGATTAATTGGGATATGTCTAATTTTTGCTCGTATGGGCATCAAACTCCTTACGTGCTTAAAATTTTGAAGAAATTTGGCATGCTTCACTACAAACTTGCTTATGTGCCTCTTGGAAACCATTTTATACTGTCTAAAGATTAAAAGCTTGCTAAAGAAGATGAAAAGGATTTTATGAGTAAAGTGTCTTAGTCTAATGTTATTGGTTCTATTATGTACCTTCTGGTTTGTTCTAGACCCGACTTGACTTTCAATATGAGAGTATTAAGTAGGTACATGTCTAATCCCGGTCCCAAGGGAAGCGTAGAAGTGGCTGCTTAGGTACTTGAAGAGTACTTTTGATGTTCGGTTAATTTATAAATATGCTGAAGGGGGTGTGAAACTTAAAGGTTTCACATATATTGACTGTGGTGGTGATAGAGATAATAGGAAATTTACTTCCTCATATGTGCTTACTTTGTGTGACTCTTGTGTGAGTTGGAAGTCTCAACTCCAACATATAATTAGTTTATCTACTACGAAATCTAAGTATATTGCAACTACAAAAGCTATTATCAATGCGGAGGTTTGGTGGGCATTTGCTACCAAATAAATCCAGGGCAATGATGAAAAATCGAGTCGAATTTAATTCAATAGGCCTAGTGCCAATTATTTTTTCGATGACCATGGGTCGACTATTCCCACGAGGCCCTGAAATTTACAACCGGGTACTCATCTCAGTGGCCCTAAAGGGACTCGAACTGATAACCATTAGGAAGCAAACTCAATGTCTGACCATTGATCTACCCCTCAGGGTTGCCTAGTGCCAATTATTGAATAAAGATAACACAAGGTAATAACTTGTCGCCCATGGAACTGAGAAACACCTAGGATCCCATAAGAGGTAATCAGGGGCGAATAGGGCTTGACCCATTTATTTAATTGGCCCACTCGGTTCGTGACCTAAGTGAACCTTTATATTGGGTTTTCTCTCCACTCTCCCCACACAACATTCGTTTCTCTCAAATCTGCACTCTGACCGAGCGCCTCTTTGTAATTCTTGTGCCACTCTTTAAGGCTTCTCCTTTGCTCCTTGCCATCGTGGGTCATTGGCTACCTGACCTTGTGGTTGAACCTCCTGTAATCTATCAATGCTTTTGACATACTTGCTGCTATCGATTCTACCTAGTTTTGCGTGCCTCTTCTGTGGTGATCTCTTGATGTTTGTTGGTGGGTCTACTTGGTTGTGGAGATACCCTGTTACCTTGGGTTGGTTGTTCTGAGCCCTAATTGATTGATTCATCATCAAAGCTTATATTGTGAAGGGGAGTTTGATTCTTGCAATTCATTTGCGTTATTACAATTTCCATATTATTGCATTGATATTTAACTGTGTTTTACCATCTATACTTGCTAGGGATTGCATTTTCACTACAAAAAGTCAAGGGGTGGTTGAACCCGATGACCAAAACTGACTATGTGGCAGTTGTGTGAAAACTAACTCAGGAGGCAATTCAGGCTAAATGGCAGGTATTTAGCCAAGGAGTTGAATAATGGGCAGTTTCATATTACCAGGTAAGCTAACACCAGCATAGCCTGGCAGTTCCAGGTGTCAACTGCAACTTGTTTCAATTTATAGCAGTTGTTTTCCTGAAGCCTTCCCTGTGATTCCTTTGTTAGAGAGGGAAATAGAGATTGGGAGCTTGTGTAATACTGCCTTCTATCCTTTCGCTTGTGCCTACTGCCTAGTGCTTTTGAATTGTGCCTTTGTGTTATATTCGTGTGCATTTGTGGCTGATGCAAATATAAATGCTACTTCTTCGTGAAACAATTTTCGAATAAGTCCTGCACACAAACTTGTCCATGTGTAAACCCCAGAATCTAAATAAAAAATCCAAATGATTTAAAATTGTTCGGTTGAAGGATGTAAGGTGCTCTTAAGGTTTTTGAGGATATTGTAATAGATGATGAGCGTATAGGAACTGTAAATGTCAGACCAATGTGAAATTGGGAAGGGAGATGTCCTAAACTTCTTCAAAAAATATAATTAACTTTGAGCTTAACTCTTGATGTTACTTGAATTATGGTTCGATGCAAAAAAGCTGCAGATATTTCCAGCTTGATTTATTAGTCTTGATTAGATCATATAATTGACTCCAGATTTATTCAAAATTTTGCAGTATGGCAGGCAAATTGAAGAGACAGTAAAGTATTGTAACAGGAAGTATTAAGATAATTCTTTTGCACAGCAAATAGAACTCTGAAGAGATTTTTTTTCATCACCATAAATAACATAGCAAAATAAAAGAAAGCATCTGTAAGCCTTTCTACATATGTAGTTTCAGAAATTTTCATAACTTACAATTGTTGGACCGGAGCTGTAGTCAGATTCTTCTGAGATGGGTTTCTGCATGGTTGAGGCCGAAGCAAGGGTATGCATCTTTGAATCATCGATCACCTGAACATAAATATGCTTGTTGGAGCGGAAAACACACAATCGTGGTCTTTCTGGTGTTCCTTCAACCTGAGAAGTCGAGAAATCGATGATGTTGAGGCATCACTGAAACACAGGACAGAACGAAACTAGTCTGAAGAAAGGAATGAAATCCAAGTTCTATCACAGACTGTAAAATATATAGAATTACATCAATCTAGTGAACAAGAGGCCATCACACAATAAAGAGTCAAATCAAGAAAGCAGCATCAATCGAAACTTTAATTCGGATTAAGTACCAAAAGAACGCGTGATGTATAGATAGTTCTATCATTCTCTTTTTATTTTCTGGATAAAGATGCATTATGTGGAAGGTGTCCCATGAGAAATACGTACAATTAATCATTCATCGTAAAATGGGGTGCACAATATATTCATTTTCGTCTCCTATTAAAAGAAAATAACATAAAATAAGGATAGCTCCTCCTCTCTGGAATTAAACCTTTTGTTAAAAAGGAAACACTTGTTCACCACTCAATTCATGTTTCATGAACCAAATTATCATAAAATTACATTTCAGAAAAATCGGTGATAATGAGAATTATTATACAAACTTCCATTCCGAATTTCACTACACAAATTGCAAAAACCTCTCTTCCAGGCTCCACAACTACATTCCATGATATCTCAATTGCAATAACCCTTTAATTTCACATATTGAGCAATGCAATTATTCAAAATTCAAATTCAAATTCAAAAACGAGAGAAAGGAAAGCAGATTACGTACCTTCTTACGAATACGAATATGACGGGCAGTCCTGTCCTCTCTTCTGGTTTTGGTTTTGGCTTCAATAACAAGAAGCCGAGGCCGATGGGTCATTGCTGCAACTGATCTGAGGCGGCAGCCATGGCCAAGCTGCTGCTGTTTAGTATTGACCCAAGACGTCTGTAGGAAGGATAATGTCACTGAATTACAAGACATTTCTTCGATTCTCTCTACTGTATCTGGAGAAAAGTAAAGGGTGTTCGTTTCTAAAGATGATAAGGAGATAACGAAATACAAAGAGGGAGAATGGGGAAGTTTATCGGTCGACCCCCAAAGTTTCACAGGTTCCATAAACTACGCCCTACAAACATGAAAAATGACATTTTGCACCATAAATATGAAGAATATTTGTTAAGTACTAAGGAAAAAAAATTAGAGGTAAGCTCGCCAATCTAAAAATTGTGTGATTTTTGGTTCCTAATCTTTTAAAGTGATGTTCTACGATTTTGTCCTTACATGATGAAAATTGTCGATGTAGACATTAGAATTGTACGCTATTTAAAGTTGAATGTTACGTTTTTTTCCTTCAATTTTAAATTATATTCGATTTTAATGCCGCATTGACAAATTCTGCCATGTGTGGATCTATATTCACAGTTTGAAATGGATTGGGACCTAAACCTTTTCAAAACATCTAAAACCAGATTAGAGAGCGTAACACGAATTTTCCCTCGACTGAGCCTAAGTCAATAAGTGAATAGATTAATAGAATGACTTGTATTAGAGTTTTTATCGTGACCCAATAATTGATTTTGTTAGAGCACAATCTCAGGAGTTAATTACTATTTTTACTCAGGTTGCGTGGAAAGATTGACAACGATTGTATACTAGTTATAATATCTATTTGCCAATAATATTTAAAGTCGCTTGATTGTATTTTTGAAGATTTTATTAGACATTTAGATGAAAATGTGGTCTTAAGGGCTCTATGATGTGGAGAAAAGGGACCTTGGTTGTTGCACGATGAAGTTTGATAGTAGAGACTATAGTATAGTTTATAATTGGTTAATAATACTTATACTTTTGAAAAATTTGAGGCATTATAGTTACTTTCAGAAAAAGTATAGGTACCAATTAAATTCTTGGGTTTTGATTTAACTGTAACATCCCTGTAAGAAAATCCTTCTAACTACATCTGAAAAGGATTGATGAATACATAAATATTGATGGTGCTTCTATATCTATTGTACGTTTGTAAGAAGAATTAAACAATTTAATTTTCTAGGTAAATTGCTTAAATTCAAATTTAAGCTATTAAAATTAAAACTTGGAATTTGTGAGATGCTTTGAATTAGACTATTATTAAAGAACTTAGGGGCTGTCTGATAAACCCCTTTTCTATGGAAAATGGAAATTGATCTCCATCCATCGTTATCGGACTCAACCCGATCATCAACCCAAAAAAATCATCGGGTCATTGGATCAATGGTTCAACTGGGGGTTAGTGGTTGAACCGGTGGGTCGATTTTAGTTCTTAATTTTGATTAAAAATATTTTTTAAATAAAATGATAGTATAAATTTTATTTTATATCATTCTAGTTAAACGAAATATATATATATTATTTGTTGCAATTCTTCATCTACTATGGTGGTCAAGGCTTCGACCTTTCAACAAGGTAACGTGGGGTTCAATTCTCACTTCATGCAACTTTGATATAAATTTTGTTATGTACCAATTTCACAAAAACCTGTTCACATGTGAATTGGTTTTCGGTTCACCTAAACCCGCTCAGTTTATGATATAAATGAATCGATATGGGCGATTCTTATCCGATTTGATTGTAAATGGACCAAATTGTGCTAATCGAACCAAATCGGTGTCCGATTCACCGATTTCTGGGCCGAATCGGTCGGTCCGGTCCGATTTTAATAACTATGTTCCACCCTAAACCAAAAATGTATGTTTGATAGTTTTTTCTAGACAATTCATTTTCCCACTTTCATGCCACCTTAGCCATTTTCTACCAAACTGATGTGGTGAGAATTCTTTTTCTAGGCTGTTGGCTGTGTTTTTTTTTTTTTTTTTTTTTTTTTTGGGGAAAAAAAAAAAATTTTTTCCCCTATTTGGTTTTCTCGGTTGTATTTTTTTTCAATAAAAACAAATTCTATCCCTAATTGTAAAAAATATTTTCCTTTAATTGACAATTTTTATGTAAAACAAAGCTAAATGAGCACTAAAAGATAGATGATTTTCTTTACTTTTTTTTTTTTTTTGCAATGGAAATAAATTCCATCTCCAATACCAGTCAATTTTATCACTTTAATTAAAAAATTTCATATAAAATAAAGTCAAATGAACACCAAAAGACACTTTTATTTCAACATTTTTTACGTCAAAAATTATACCAATCAAATACAATAATTGACAATTCCTAATAAAACAATTTCTAGGCAATTTAATACTCTGAAATTTGTTTTCTTTCCATCAAAACTTCATTTTTGCAATCAAACGGACCCCAGGAATGAAATCTAAAAAATCCAATCGCATCTATTGTAACATCAAATATATCAAATTTAGAAATTAAAAAAAAAAAAAAAATTGAGAGGAACCAAAGTTTTATTGACTGAGCAGGTCTTGCAAGCTACCACAGGCTAATAAAGAAAAATGCAACGGTCGGAAAGTAATTAATAAAACCAAAATAATAAGACCATTTCCTCCTCCAACGGTACTTTGTACATTGTCACCCAAAGTAACGTTCTTCTTCACTCTTCACTCTTCACTCTTCACTCTTCACCCCCTCTTTCTCTCTCTAAAACACTGTTCTATATTCCAGCTTTCATCTGCGACTCTGCAGATATTGATTTATAAAGAAAAACTTCCTCTTTAAATTGTATATATATCAAAATTATAATTTTCAAGCCATACATACATAGTTGAGTTTTAATTTAATGGAGGTGGCAGTAATAGATTGGAAAAGCATTGATTCAAGATTTGTAAGAGATGAGATTTATGAGAACATCAATGCCCCTCAGTGGGTCGATTTCTCAGTTCCCAACGATACCGTCGACGATGAATCCTGGTTCTGCAGACCTGGTAAGTCAAAACACACACACAATCCTTCGTGTGCATGTGTGTGTATATATACAGAAATGATCTTTTAAGCACCGGTGCTTAGCTTATATTAAGCACCGGTGACATGGCACACTACTCAATTGGTGAATAACCGGTGCTTAACATAAGCTAAGCGCAGTTGCTTAGAAGATGTGGGTTCTGATTTTCTTGTTGCTTGAGAGGATGATTTTACTTAGTTGATTTTGTTTGTTTATTGTTATATATAGGCTGTAATCACCCCAAGACAGTTGAAGATTTCTTCAAAGATAAGGAGAGGACACCTACTTCGAATTATAGGGTTTGTATTGCTTCATCTTTTCTTGATTTATGTAAAATTTAATGCTTGTTCTTCAAGAAAATTTAATGAAATTGAGATCTTATTCTTAGAATTTAATGGTTAGATTGAGACAAATTATGTTTTTTTGGTTAGTTGTTTATCCGATTAAATTAATGAGTATGAAGTCCTATAAAGACCAAATTAAGTTAATTAAAGCATAAGGTCTTTTGCAGCTTCAGAGATCAGCCAGTGTATCTGAGATTCTTCCATTTGATGATAAAAACAGAAGGTACTGATGAAACTTAGCAGTATAATTTAAACTGCATTCATGTATAATTTAGTGCGTGACCTCATTTACGATTTCAGAGATGCAACACTGAAGAAGAGAGGGATGAATCAACCATTTACATCACCAAACATGAAATATAATAGGATTGTTGAAGATAGTGAAAATCAAAATCCCAATTTTTCGACCCCTCCAAATCGCAAAGGTTATAAGATGAAAGAGGCGATCAAATCAAGCACGGAGAGGAAGAAAGAGACTGATGATATCATGACAATGAAAAATCAAGCACCGAGGCTGAAAAGTACTTTGTCAGCTCGGAATTTGTTTTCTGGTGGCGATCTACTGAACAAGGTTGCAGAGTTTTGCAATGAGTTGAAGAAATTGGCAACAAGGGGAAAGGATGGTGCTGAAGATGTGAATGGGGGAAACGCAGAGAAGCATTTGGTTGACCATTCAAGAGATTTGGATGATAAAGAAAAGGAAAGGAAGCCACTGCTTCAGTCAAGTCAAGTAAAAAGTGAAGCGACTGAGAAGAGCTACTCAAAGGAGAAGCAAAGAAGGAAAAAGTAAATTTCTCTTCTTTCTCTTCTTGCTTTTATGTACCTGTATTTGTTCTGCATGCATATAAATACGGGAAGTTTAGTAAAATCTAAATAATCTTCAAGAGATAACCATTTTGGTATGCTTGATGCAGAAGAAATGATGATGCAGAGAATACTCCCATTGCTGTGGATGTGAAAAGCATTAAGCACAAAGAGGAAGAAAGCTTGTTGCAAATTCGGACTTCTCCTCCTACTCCACAATGTTTCTCGGCCAGTCATGGCCCTAACAAAGCCACGCCCAAATCTTACAGGTCGAAACCACGGGTATGTACAGAGGTTTCATAAAATCTGTTCAAAATGGTCTGTATTAAGTTGTGTTTTATCATTGAATATGCTGAGAATTGAATTAGGTTTATTTCTTCACATTTTTAGGCCAATCACTTTACATGATTTATATTGTTTGAATCTCCACGGTGAACAATTTAGGTGGGCGGAAGATTGGATAATAATACTAAAATCTTCTTGTTATTGTATTTAGTTATGTCGAATACTGCATACCTACCATAAAAAAAGAATTCATAAGGTATCAATTACTGACTGAATCACACGAATGAACACTTTCAGGAGAGAGGAATTCTACAGGAGCTCAGACCGATCAATAAGGAGGAGAAAAGTGATGAGCTCAGGCACAAGAATCACCACAGAAGAGATGTTGCTGCTGCTGTGGCTGAAAAGGAAGCAAGAACTTTGGATGTTTTTTGGTTCTTAAAGCCTTGCACCAATTCAAGTTAGTCAAGTAAATTTTTGACAGTATTCATAGAGATATTCTTTCATTTTTTAATAAATCTTGCCGTTACTTGTACAATTATTTTGTTTCATCTTGATCATCCCTGTTCCTGATTCATTCTATAGTTCGACGCAAAATGCAATAAAAATTTAATTGTTCTTGTACTTGAAACTAATTTTCACTGAATAAAATCGAGTTCTTTCATCTATGTTGGGAATCATTACATTTTGCATTCTTACATCGTATTGATGTGGCAGATTGTATGTCTATCGACAGGGTTGGATGGTTAAATTGATATATATATATATATATATATATTGAGTCTCTTGAGTATACAACAATTATTATCTCAATAAAAATTACCTCAAGAGAATCCACAAACATAAAAGAAACACAGTAGAGATACAAAAAAGAAGAAACTACTTATAAATAAGTTTTTTTGACCCCCCTGGAGTGAGTTCAATCTAAAAGAAACCTCAACGGCTGGCTTACACTCGGCGAGGAGCTTGATTATAACAAAGCATACAATTAAAGATCCTAGTAAAAGCATATCTCAAACGAGGATACATCCTACCGGTATAGAAACTCGATTCCCTCCGCATATCCTCGATGAATTCGATGAAAAGGTTGAGGTTTCTGATTGGAGGAATATAAAGGCTCAAAGGAACTGCAGAAAATGCCATTGCGAAGAACAGATGCAACATCTCAACTACACAGAACTTAAGATGATAAAAGATATTATGAACTCTTTGGAATTTTCGTTGAATTTTGGATAAGTTTGAACACAGAACTTAAGATGATAAAAGAGATTATGCACACTTTGGAATTTTGGTTGCATTTTGGATAAGTTCGAATGAATCATAGTCGTGGTTTTGGGTGGAACTGTGTTTGTTGGTAGGTGAAGGAGGATTTCAAGAATGATTTGGCCTTTTCTGGCAATGGTGGTTGAGTTGTTCTAATTGGTAACTCTAGTAAAATATAATGATGGATCTTTTAGAGTGTATTTGATTGGTATGAAAAATATCACGTAAAAATAAAAATATTTTCCTTGTTTTGAAGAAAACATAACCAACTTCCCCCCAAAAAAATAGTTTCCTTAAAAATAAAGAAAAATAGGCATATAAAAAACATTGAAAATGCAAAAAAGTAGCAATCAAACAATTCAAAGTAGGAATTTTGATGGAAAATAAGTGCAATCAAATACAATCTTAGAGAGAACTTAGTTGAAAAATTTGTTTCCCCTTTTAATTAGTTTTTCTCAAAAGGTTAGGTCAATTAGACCAACTCAAGTAGATTGCTTTATTGATCAACTTAGTCTCCGGCTCAGCTTTTTATTAGGTCGAAATGAAACCCAATGGACCAAATTGATAAAAAAAAATTATACATACGTCTTCTTCATTTTTTTCTTTCTATTGTTCTCGCCAGTTATCTTTGATGAAAATTTGATATCTTTTCCGTCTAAGAAAACCATTGTATAGGTTGCACTAATATTTAAGTATATTAAGCAATGATCTCCACCTTAACCGAAACTTGGAGCTTCCACAGAAGATGCAGCAATCTCCGTTTATGATCAAGACAAGGCTTGTTTGCCTGATTTTTTTTGCTTTCTGCACAATGTCAACTAAAGCCCTTGATCGAACGCTTCTACCCTCATATCTAGATTAGATAGGGATCTTTATTATTACTCTAAAATCTTTTCACTTACTCTACTATAATATTTTGAGTATCTAAAAGCTGAAGGGTTACTTTTTTAAATAGAAATGACAATATTAAATGATGAGAGATAAAGAAACAAACTTTATTCTAAAATGTGTTAAAAAATGCTATATTTTGCTTTCTTCCTTGTTAATCCTTCCTAGAAAATTTCATCAAAGGCCTCATGTAAATAAATGCAAAATCAAATTATGTCCAAGGATTAGACTTGCATCTCTGGAAGCACAGGAGAACGTTGGTTATTCGTCAGTATCGATTTAGCTTGTGATGTATTTGGAAGCCCTCGGCCAAACGAATGTTTTACAGAGAGCCAACAAGGAATTCCATTAATAACTGGCCGTTTTGATTAATTGGAACAACTCGATGAATTTAGTAGATCGTTTTAAGAGGCCCAGGGAAAGCCAACAGAAAGATTCGATATTCGATTCTGACTTTCATAGAGCCGGTGCTGCTGTTGTGACCAAGAGACTTAAGGCCATTTCCAGTGCTGTATCAAAATTCATTTTCAACAATTACACCAAAACGTACACCAAATTAACAGTATTTCTTCTCTCTTTTTTATTCTTAATAATTTATTTATTTAAATTATTATTTATTAAATTATTTTATAAATACATAAATTACTAAATAAATAATTACGTTAAATTAAGGAAAAATTAAATTCATTAATAAATATCAAAATCATTATTTATTTAATTATTTTAATATATTTCGTATTAACTTTAAGAAATAATCATGTTTGTTATATGTTAAATTCTTTTCTTCTTTTAATTAATTCATTAATTATTATTTTTAACATTTAAAATTTATTTTAAATGCAAAAAAAAATTATTTTATTAAAAATTATATAGCACAAATGACACAAATAACCTTAATCAATTTATTTAGAAAATAAAAAGAAATGGTAAAAATGACTTTGGACACTTTGCACCAAATTGGTGCAAAATACAGTAATTGCATTGGAATTGTTTTGCACCAAAAAATGGTATATTTTGAATGCATCGGGGATGGCAAGTGGCATTTTGTTGGATGGTTGGTTGAGCTTTCGAATGGATTATAACAAGCCAACACTTGTCCAAAATTGGCTCATTTGAGGGTTGGTTTTCATTGACCTCTTTCAAGAATTTGTCAACTTCGGGAACCTCCTTTGAGTTTGCCGAAACATTAGAAGCAGCCTTATGTTGGATATTCATGCGTGAGATAATATTACCTCCCTTTAACCTAGAAATAGTACATTCTTTGCTTATTTTAAATTATTTTTTACTTTTTTATTGAAATAAATTACTTATTTTTAATTTTGATCAATAAAAATAAATTTACTTACGTAAACGATTTAAATGTTGCAAAAAACGCTCTTATTGCATTAACATAATACGACAACTTAATTAAGATTTTTTCTTGACTTTGAATATAAGAAATTAATTTATGCATTTATTTATTTTATGTTGAAACAAGTTGATAGAAAATCTTTTTTAACTTTCATGTCTTCAAAACTAAATAATCTTTGTACAAAATAAATTTTTTCTTATCTATAATTATGCTATTATAATGTTACCATATTAGCACACCATTTGTCAACATTAACAAATGTTTTGAGCCAAAAGTTTCAAAGGCTAAATGGCCAATTTTTATGATCTCGTTGATGAAATATTAAGGAGTGGATATTTTTTATAAATATATTTTACTCACTTATTTGGACAAAAAATATAGACATTTAATAGTTTTTTTTTTTTGATAATTATAGCCTAATTTATTTTATATTTCATTTATTAGGTGAAACTCGATGAATAGAAGTGGAATTGAAAGAAAAGAAGGGAAAATTGACCAAAAAGGGGCTAAATTGTAAAAGTTTCAAAGTTTGGGGATTAAAGTGTAAATATTCAAAAATTGTGTCAGACCTCATAATAAAGATTTGAAAGTTCTAGGAGTTAATTGAATAAAGAAAAAAGTGGATGAAATATGGTCAAAGAGTGAATACCAATCTAGAGGCCACTTTTGGAGGAGAATTCAACCGGGCAAGGGGAGTTCCACACAATTTGGGGGAGAAAAACACATAATCATCAAGATCAAAGAGTGAAAGCTAAATTCGATTATGAACTCTATACTTTTTGTATTTTCTTTCATTGTTATAAGTAGCTAAATTCATAATCAGTGTGAACAATGTAACATATCGTGACTCTTTATATCTTTATTCAAGATTCAAGTTCTTTAAATGCATATATGTTGATTTTAATAATGTACTTAATACTTTAAATTCTTTGGTCAATTATTCTATGATTTTGTGAATCTATTACGGATCAAGAGGTGAGTTTATAAATTTAGCCCATATATTAAAATTTGATAACTTAGTATAACATATAGAAATACCTATACTAGTTATTGTTGTTGTTAGATGAATTCTAAGAACTAATATTTCGTTTAGCAAAAATTAATTTGCCAAAATATATGATATTAAATTAGTTAAATAGACTCAATGAGAATTTGAAAGGGAAAGCGAATATTTTAGAAGAATTCAACCGAATACTCAATTATAATGAATCTTGATTGGCGAATCAAAAAGGATCAATAGGTAAAATTATAAGTCATAATATCCATATTCATACTTCTAAAACTCAAATTCGATAATTTGTGTATCATTCGGACTCAAATGTCCATTATATTACTTGTACGATATTGTATAATTGCGGAATATAAAAATTGATAACAATCTTACTAATATAATCCTTTGTTAAGTTTGATTCATCAATTCATGACTAATTCGTAGGTTAAACATCAATTGTGGAATTCCTTCGTAAGAAAAAAGGTGGGGGGAAGAACTCTATGAACAAAAACATTATAAAAAACAAAAGAAAGTCAGTCTACTTAAATCAAAGGTTTCTATCTTATTGAGTCTAAAGAAACACAGTAGATATACAACAGAGAAGAAACTACTTATAAACAAGTTTTTTGAACCCCTCTGGAGTGAGTTCAATCTAAAGAAACCTCGATGGCTGCTTACACAGGCTCAGGAGCAAAAGAAGGAATCTGCCCGGCAAGGAGCTTGATTATAAAATCTGCCTAGGATTATTACAAAGCATACAATTGAAGATCCTAGTAAAAGCATACCTCAAACGAGGATACATCCTACCGTTATAGAAACTCGATTCCCTCCGCATATCCTCCATGATCTCGAAGAAAAGATTGAGGTATCTGATTGGAGGAATATAAAGGATCGCAGGAACTGCAGAAAATGCCATAGCAAAGAAAAATTGCAACATCTCAACTACACAGAACTTAAGATGGATAAAAGAGATTCTGAACTCTTTGGAATTTCGTTGAATTTTGGATAAGTTTGAACACAGAACTTAAGATGATAAAAGAGATTATGAACTATTTGGAATTTTCGATGAATTTTGGATAAGTTTGAATGAATCAGAGTTGTGATTTTGGGTGGAACTATGTTTGTTGGTATTTGAATGAGGATTTCAAGACTTTTCTGGCAATGGTGGTTGAGTT